ATTTTGGCTCTTGTGGACATTGCTGCTATAATCACTTCAAATCACTGTGTTTGTATCCTTTGGATAAATACCTGATAGTGCAATTGCTGGGTCATAGGGTAGCTCTATTTTTAACTTTTTGAGGAACTTCCATACTGTCTTCCAGACAATATGTCTGTCTTCCAAACTGCTGACCAGTTTGCATTCCCACCAACAGTGTAAGAGGGTTCCCCTTTCTCCACATCCTTGCCAACTTCTGTTGTTTCCTGAGTTGTTAATTTTAGCCATTCTGACCAGTGTGAAGTGGTATCTCATTGTGGTTTTGATTTGTATTTCCCTGATGCTGAGTGATGTTGAGTATTTTTCCAAGTGTCTATTGGCCATTTGTATGTCTGGGAAAGAGAATCTTAAGGAGGTTCCACGCCCAGCACAGAGCCTGACATGGGGCTCAATCTCACGACCCTGAGATCATGACCTGAGCTGAAATCAAGAGGTGGATGCTTAACTGACTGAGCCACCCAGGCACCCCTCATATTTCTTATTTATTGGAGTGCTCTAGAACTCAGGCCTCACCCTATCAGGGGTTGGCAAACTACTTCTATATTGGGCCAGATACTAAATATTTTTTGTTTTGTGGCCATATGTCCTCTGTTACTACTACTCAAGAAGCCCATTATCTGTGGTTTCCATTACTCGCAGTCTGGAAGCAGATGATCCTCCTGATGCAGCATCAGAATGTCAATAGTAGCTTAACAGTATGTCACAACGCTTATGTCATTTATCTCATTTCATCTCATCATGTAGGCATTTTATCATTTCCCATCATTACAAGAAGAAGGGAAAATACATTACAATAAAATATTTTGAGAGAGATCACATTCATAAACCTTTTATTACAGTATATTGTTACAATTATTCTATTTTATTATTAGTTATTTTTGTTGATCTCTTAGTGTGCCTGATTTTTATTTTTAAATATTAAAAAAAATTTTTTTTAAAGATTTTATTTATTTATTTGACAGAGACACAGTAAGAGAGGGAACACAAGCAGGGAGATGAGAGAGGGAGAAGCAGGCTTCCCGCGGAGCAGGGAGCCCGATGCGGGGCTCGATCCCAGGACCCGGGGACCATGACCCGAGCCGAAGTCAGATGCTTAATGACTGAGCCACCCAGGCGCCCCAAATATTTAAAACTTTTTAAAAAGACATTTATTTTAGGGGTGACTGGGTGGCTCAGTCGTTAAGCATCTGACTTCGGCTCGGGTCATGGTCCCCGGGTCCTGGGATCGAGCCCCGCATCGGGCTCCCTGCTCCGCGGGAAGCCTGCTTCTCCCTCTCCCACTCCCGCTGCTTGTGTTCCCTCTCTCGCTATATCTCTCTCTGTCAAATAAATAAAATCTTTAAAAAAATAAAAATAAAAAAATAAAAATAAAGACATTTATTTTAGAGAGAGAGTGTGAGCAGTGGGAGGGGCAGGGGGAGAAGGAGAGAGAGAATCTCAAGCAGACTCCCCACTGAGTGCAGAACCCGACATGGGGCTCCATCTCACCACCCCAAGATCATGACCTGAGCTGAAACCAAGAGTTGGATGCTTAACTGACTGAGTCACCAAGGCGCCCCATCTTCTGCCCATTTCTTAACTGGATTACTTATTTATTGGGTGTTGAGTTTGATAAGTTATTTATAGATTTTGGATACTAACCCTTTATCTGATATGTCACTTGCAAATATTTTCTCCCATTCTGTAGGCTGCCTTTTAGTTTTGTTGATTGTTTCTTCATTTCGCAGGAGCTTTTCATCTTGATGAGGTCCCAATAGTTCATTTTTGCTTTTGTTTCCCTTGCCTCTGGCAACGTGTCTAGTAAGAAGTTGTTGCAGCTGAGGTCAAAGAGGTTGCTGCCTGTGTTGTCCTCTAGGATTTTGATGGTTTCCTGTCTCACATTTAGGTCTTTCATCCATTTTGAGTTTATTTTTGTATATGGTATAAGAAAGTGGTCCAGTTTCATCTTCTGTGTGTGGCTGTCCAGTTTTCCCAACCCCATTTGTTGAGACTATCTTTTTTCCATTGGATATTCTTTCCTGCTTTGTCGAAGATTAGTTGATCATAGAGTTGTGGGTCCATTTCTGGGTTCTCTCTTCTGTTCCATTGATCTATGTGTCTGTTTTTGTTCTAGTACTATGCTGTCTTGATGACTACAGCTTTGTATATAGCTTGGGGCGCCTGGGTGGCTCAGTTGGTTAAGCGACTGCTTCGGCTCAGGTCATGATCTCAGGGTCCTGGGATCGAGCCCCGCATCGGGCTCCCTGCTCAGCGGGAGGCCTGCTTCTCCCTCTCTCACTCCCCCTGCTTGTGTTGCCTCTCTCGCTGTCTCTTTCTCTGTCAAAAAAAAAAAAAAAAGTAATATAGCTTGAAGTTCAGAATTGTGATGCCTCCAGCTTTGCTTTTTTTTTTTTTTTTCAAGATTGCTTTGGCTATTTCACATACAAGTTTTAGGATTGTTTGTTCTAACTCTGTGAAAAATGCTGGTGGTATTTTGATAGGGATTGCATTAAATGTATAGATTGCTTTGGGTAACACATTGCACCCCAGTGTTTCTACCAGCATTATCAACAATAGCCAAACTATGGAAAGAGCCCAAATGTGCATCAGCTGATAAATGGATAAAGAAGATGTGGTAGTGATGCCTGGGTGGCTCAGTTGGTTAAGCATCTGCCTTCAGCTCAGGTCATGATCCCAGGGTCCTGGGATTGAATCCCGCATCGGGCTCCCTGCTCAGTGGGGAGTCTGCTTCTCCCTCTGCCTGCCACTCCCCCTGCTTGTGCTCTCTCTCTCTCTGACAAATAAATGAATAAAATCTTTAAAAAAAAAGATGTAGTTTACACAATATTACTCAGCCATCAAAAAGAATGAAATCTTGCCATTTGCAATGACATGGATGGAGCTAGAGTGTATTATGCTAAGCGAAATAAGTCTGTCAGTGAAAGACAAATACCATAAGATTTCACTCATATGTGGAATTTAAGAAACAAAACAGATGAACATGGGGAAGGGGGGAGAAAAGGGAGAGAGGGAAGCAAACTATAAGAGACTCTTAACGATAGAGAACAAACGGAGGGTTGATGGAGGGAGGTGGGTGGGGGATGGGCTGAATGGGTGATGGGTATGAAGGAGGGCGCTTGTGATGAGCACTGGATGGTATATGTAAGTGATGAATCACTAAATTCTACACCTGAAACCAATTTTACCATATATGTTAACTACAATTTAAATAAAAACTTGAAATTTAAAAAGTGAAATTCAGGGATTTTGAAAGGCTCAAGTCTCAGTCTGTACTATTTTTCTGATTAATGTCAGCATTCAGCCTGTGCTAATCACCTGGGAGTAGGAAATGTATAGGGGTGGGGAGGAGAAGAACTTCAGCAGCTGGGGGTAGCTTCTTGGTAGGGTCTGAGAAAGAGGGCGGTTACTTTATTTGTTGAGATGTGGTGATTAAACCCTCAAAGTGAATTTTGAGAGACAGCTGCACATAGAAAAGAGATGATGATTAAAATTAATTACTGTTGTTAGAGATGTTTTGCATTTCTACAGCAGTTTGTAGTTACTCAGAATTTTGTAATCACTTATTAACTCTCCCTCACCAGAGCCTTGTGACATAGGCAACATTACTACAAATGTTTGTTTTTATCTTCTGGGAAGAAATATGAGCTGCCTTGGCCACAGATTAGGATTAAGGAATCAAAATCCTTACTGCAGCTCTTTCACTCACTGTGTGATTTTGAGAATCCAAAGGCAGAACTTGAACATTGTCTTACTCTATAATTTTATTATGAAGAACAACTCATAAAGATGAATCAGGGGTTTTGTAAATTAAAAAAGATATAGGTAGGGGCACCTGGGTGGCTCAGTTGGTTAAGTGTCGGACTCTTGCTTTCGGCTCAGGTCATGATCTCAGGGTCATGAGATGGAGCCCTGCATTGGGCTCCACACTCAGTGCAGAGTCTGCTTCAGATTTTTTCTCTCCCTCTCCCTCTGTGCCTCCCCCCAGGATCTGATCTCAGGGTCATGAAATCAAGTCCTGAGTCGGGCTCCTCACTCAGCCAGAAGTCTGCTTCTCCCCCTCCCTCTCGCCCTCTTCCTGTGCACATACTCTTTCTCTCTCTCTCAAATAAATAAATCTTTACAAAAAAGATATATGTAGGTATGTAATAATACTAACCTCTCAAATTCATTTTCCTCCAGGTTTTTAAAAAATAAAATTAATAATAGTACCTATATCATATTTTTACGTATCAAGTATTTAGCCTAGTGCCTTGTATATTAATAAATGCTTAATAAACATTACCCCTTATCAATACTGTAATAAGACCCATATAATGTATGCATTCTTTTTGCTTCCATTTGATTACATTAGTGTTCCTGTCTTTGGATAAAGATGCATGCAGATATACATTCACTTACTCAGCAATATTTACTGAGTGACTACCATTTACCATGCAGTGTTGCTGGAGCTAGGGATACAGTGGTAAACAAGAAGGGCTTCCTGATCTCACAAAGTTTATATTTTGGTAGGAGGGAGAGGACTCACATTATCATGATGGTGGGTTTACATTCCAGTGGGAGTTATCTTGATAGAGAGGATAGAAGCATGATGAGGGTATATTTAGAAAATATGTGGGAAACTTATTTCTGATTTTTATATAAAAATAGTTTTTTTATTATAGCAGTAGGTTAAGTATTTATAAGCTATTCATTTTTATAAAAGTATTTAAATGTATAATTATATATTTTATTTTAAAAATAAATATACTTATGAATTTAGAACATTTTGAAAAGCAAGTATTATTTTATTTATGATTATGTAAATAATACTGTTGAAATTTTTTTTTTTAAGATTTTTATTTATTTATTTGAGAGAGAGAGAGAATACGAGAGAGAGAGAGCATGAGAGGGGGGAGGGTCAGAGGGAGAAGCAGACTCCCTGCTGAGCAGGGAACCCAATGTGGGACTTGATCACAGGACTCCGGGATCATGACCTGAGCTGAAGGCAGTTGCTTAACCAACTGAGCCACCCAGGTGCCCCAATACTGTTGAAATTTTTTAAAATAGAAGAATTATCCATAATTTCACTACAATATTATTCTTTTTAAATTGCCTTAGTATATATTTGTATATAGTTTATTCAGCATACATTTCCTAAGCATTTTCCCATGCTGTTTCAGCATGGAAAAAAATGGGCTGTTTCCTGACATTCGGTCATGGCTTGGGGCCGCAGACAGTGTAGTGGGATGGCAGCAGTGGGAGGGAATAACACATAAAGGCATTCTGAACTTAGCCCAGAGCCTGCTTTGAAGAGATGAGATAAAGAGAGAGGTATATTGGCTATGCTGAAAAGATGAGTAGACAGAAGCAGGATTCAATCCCTGGGATATGTCAGGTGCCTGAAGACCAGAGAGAAGGTTCTGGAATTAGAGAGGAGCCTCAGATTCTCGCTGTTGCCTTCTCAAACTTAGGTGATTTCTGGAGAAATACTACCCCTGCAACATAGACTTGCACTTTTCTTTCTTTTAGGATATTGGGGCTATGGATTGAGATGCAAGCCAGAGTCCCTTCCAAGATAATTTTGAAACAAGTTAATTTTGAGTTCTATAGGTCATGGATTTGGCCTCTTGCTTTCTTTTCCTGCTGCCACCAATGTCTTCTTAGGCTGGGTTCTTGCCTAGATACATCTAAATTGGGATGCAGTTTCCTAATGTATTCCTTACTCTTCAGAAGCTGAAAGGAGTTTATGAACAATTTTTAGATTTTTAGGGTTAGAATAGAGTTATAAAATTGAAAAAGATGTCAAAAAGATCATCTGGGAAGTTCCTCTGCATGTCGCTGGCCCTGTCTGAAAAGTTTATTAGTTTCTTTGTTCTGCTTAAAATGTTAGCTCCCTAATGGCAAAATTACATAAAATAAGAACAACAGTCACATAATTATTAGAAATCTTCATAAGTACCAGGAGTAAATGTCCCTGATCTTTATGGGAATATGTTTAGGGCTCTTCTGCTTCCTTCTAGCCACTTTCCTGAGACACTACCTTGATTCTGCTCTGGACGTGAGCACTAGCTGCAAAACTCTAAGGCTTTTTTTTTTTTAATTTTTATTTATGTATTTAGTTCCAGTATAATTACTGTACAGTGTTATATTAATTTAAGGTGTACAGTATAGTGATTCAACAATCCTATACATTACTCAGTGCTCATCAAGATATGTGTACTCTTGGGGCACCTGGCTGGCTCAGTTAGTAGAGTATGTGACTGTTGGTCTCGGGGTTGTGAGTTTGAGCCCCATGTTGTGTTGTGTTGAGAATACATAAAAATAAAATCTAAAAAATAAAAAAGGATATGTGTATGCTCAATCCCCTTCATCTCTTTCACCCATTCCCTAACCCATCTCCTCCCACCCCCTGTAATCACCAGCTTGTTTTGTATATTTAAGAGTCTGGTTCTTTGTCTCTTTTTTCTTTGTTTGTTTTGTTTTTTAAATTCCACATATGAGTAAAATCATACGGTATTTGTCTTTATCTGATGGACTTCTTTCGCTTAGCACTATACCTTCTAGATCCATCCATGTTGCTGCAAATGGCAAGATTTCATTCTTTTTTATGGCCGAGTAACATTCCATTATATATATAAACCATACCTTCTTTATCCATTTATTTATTGTTGGACACTTGGGTTGCTTCCATAATTTGGCTATTGTAAATAATTCTTCAGTAAACATAAGGGTGCATATATCTTTTTGAATTAGTGTTTTTGTATTCTTTGGGTAAATACCCAATAGTGGGATTATTGAATCATATAGTGATTTTATTTTTAATTTTTTGAGGAACCTCCATACTGTTTTCCATAGTGGCTGTAGCAGTTTATATTCCTACCAACAGTGCATGAGGGTTCCTTTTTCTCCACATCCTCACAAAACTTATTTCTTGGGGTGCCTGGGTGGCACAGTCAATTAAGCATCTGACTGTTGGTTTTGGCTCAGGTTGTGATCTTAGGGTCGTCAGATCAAGCCCTGAGTAGGGCTTCACACTGGGTGTGGAACCTGCTTAAGATTCTCTCTCTCTCTCTCTCTCTCGCTCTCTCTGCCCTTCCCCCCACTCCCTCCCTCTCTCAAATAAATAAATAAATCTTTAAAAAACTTGTTATTTCATGTTTTTGATTTTAGCCATTTTGACAGGTGTGAGGTGATAGCTCATTGTGGTTTTGATTTGCATTTCCCTGATGATGAGTAATGTTCAATTTTTTCATGTCCGTTGGCCATCTGTATGTCTTTGGAGAAATGTCTGTTCATGTCTTCTACCCATTTTTTTAATTGGGTTATTTGTTTTTTGGGTGTTGAGCTGTAGAAGTTCTTAATATATTTTGGATACTAACTCTTTCTCAGATGTATCATTTGCAAATATTTTCTCCCATTCAATAGGTTGTCTTTTTGTTTTGTTGATTGTTTCCTTTGCTGTGCAGAAGCTTTTTACTTTGATGTAGTCCCAATAGTTTATTTTTTGCTTTTATTTCCCTTGCCTTAGGAGGCATATCTAGAAAAAACCTTCCAAGATTTTTTATTCTAGACATGAGGCCCACAGGATTCCTGGTGCCTCCTTTAATGGAGAGGCATCCATGCTCTGCCCTTCTGTTGGAAAATCCTGTAAGGGTAAAGAACAAGAGAACATTTCAGGAGAATACTCCCAGATGATGTCTCTGATCTCAGGTTCTTTCCATTTTACCAAAGGAAAAGTCAACCTGGTCATCCTCTGATACAAAGAGACCCAGGTATAAGTCCACAGTAGCACTTAAGTATGCTGAGAAACCTGCACAAAACATAGGTCATCTTAGGCACTGAGAATTTAGACTTCAGGCTTGGATTAAGCCCTTAGACACATTAGGGCAACAACCAACAACTTTTCAATTTTAGATGTTAATGCTAATTTCACTTGCAAAAGAGAAGTACTAAAATAGTATTATGATTTTAACAGTAGAAATGTAGGAGTATGAAATTTGTAATGTTATAGACAAATTAAGCATGAAAGGCAAATACCACATCAGAGTGGGCTGGGTATCCAGATTTCAGCTGAAATTCTCTGAAAGGGTTACAAATGGCTAGCTAGTTCCACTGACTAAAGGGCCCTAATGTTAGGAGAAGGAGGAGGTAAAAAGAAGATATAGAGAGAAGGTGAGGCAGTTTTAATGTTTGTGACATCTTCTTAGTTCTTCTCAGGAGGCTGTTCATGGATTTGAATATTTATAGTAGTGTATTCTCTCACTGGAGTATGGGTACTTGAGAGTTAATAACTGTTACTTGGGTGGATAATACAGACTGCTGCTTATGATGACTGTGATAGCTTGAAGACTATCTTAGTATGCTTGGGCTTCTGTATCAAAAAACAATAGACTAGGTGGCTTATAAACAACAGAAATTAATTCTCACAGTTCTGGGGCTGGGAAGTCCAAGATTAAGGTGCTGGTAGATTCAGTGTCTTGTGAGGGCTGCTTCCTGGCTGTCTTCTTGCTGTAACCACAGATGGCAGAAAGCAGAGACGGACAGCAAGTCATTTCCTTAAGGGAACTAATCCCATTTGTGAGGCCTCCACACCCATGACCTTATCTAATCCTACTTACCTTCCAAAGGCCCCACTTCCTTTTTTTTTTTTTTAATATTTTATTTATTATTTGACAGAGACATAGCGAGAGAGGGAACACAAGCAGGGGGCGTGGGAGAGGGAGAAGCAGGCTTTCCACAGAGCAGGGAGCCCAATGCGGGGCTCGATCCCAGGACCCCGAGATCATGACCTGAGCTGAAGACAGATGCTTAACAACTGAGCCACCCAGGCGCCCCAAGGCCCCACTTCCTAATACCAGCACATTGGGGTTAGGGTTTCAACATATGAATCTGGAGAGGGAACACAACCATACAGTTCATAACAAAATATTTGATAACCTGCAAATCTGACTGCTTCAATCCTCTGCTCAAAATCCTCCAGTGGATCCCAGTGCCAACAGCACAAAATCACTCATCTATTGGTTTGCTCATATTATTTCTTCATTCTTTCCACAAATATTTATTAACAGGTACTGGAGATATAGCAGTTAAGAAAACAGACAAAGGAGACCCATCCCTCTTGGAGCTTGTATCTTGTGGTTGAGACAAACAATATAATTGGAGATGATATTTTGACAATAAAGTAATGTGGCTTTTTTTCATGGGCATCCTAATCCCAATCATGTTTCCCAAATCCAGTCATATTCCTCTGCAGCCATTCCATCAATATGGTCCCTACCTAAAGAGGGGACATATTGTAAAGGGGAAATTCCCTCCAGAGAAGAAGATGAAGTAAAAGGAAGCACTTTTATTGAGAGTAGGGATACGGAGGTGGGAAGATGCAGTAGAAATATTGACACTGGGAGAAGGGTGACCTGAGATCCTTTGAGCTTGGTGGCAGGCACAAGCCTAAGAGAAGCTCTGTGTTTGACATGGAGATAGAGAGGGGAGAGTTGGCAGCCAGGGAGCATCTGTGAAGGCAAGTGTCTAGGTAGACCTTCCCAAATAATGCTGCTGGTTCCTAGTGGTCTGTATCTAGAATATAAGAGATTCAAAAGTTCCTCTATGGCCCCAGAATATTGTGAACACAGCAAGACCCACGGACTCCTGGGTTACTGAGATGATGGCAATAATGGAGGTTGATGCCCCCAGAGTTCTGGTGGTGGTGCTTGTTCATCCCAAATGGATTCTAGAAGGATAGAAACTGACAGGGATGGATTAGAGATAACTGGGATGAAACAGCTCAACTGAAGGCCAGCAGAAAAAGAGAATGGAGACCATCTGTACCTCCATGTTACCAGGGAAGACTAATAAGCATTCCCTTACAACAGGACATTGTGGTTGAGAAGGAGGACAGGGAGGGGAAGAACACTCCTATGAGGGCTGAACTTTGAAATGACTTAAAACTTACCAGAAAGCAACTATCACACATGAAAAGATCAAGGGGCAAAGGAGAGAATGAAAAGAAGGCTGAACTGATAGGAAACGTTTAGCTCATGAGTCTTTTTTGCCAAAAAGCAGAAGCATAATATTTGTTGATTAATGTTTTAAAACACAAGTTTCAGGATATTATACCTCTGCTTAAAATTCTCCAGTGGCTTCCCATTGCATTTAGGATGAATCCTAAATTCTTTTTTTTTTTAAATTTTTTTAAAATTTAATTTAATTTAATTAATTTATTTATTTTTAAAGATTTTATTTATTTATTTGACAGAGAGAGAGAGATAGCGAGAGCAGGAACACAAGCAGGGGGAGTGGGAGAGCGAGAAGCAGGCTTCCTGCCGAGCAGGGAGCCGGATGTGGGACTCGATCCCAGGACCCTGGGATCATGACCTGAGCCGAAAGCAGACGCTTAACGACTGAGCCACCCAGGCGCCCATAATTTTTTTTTTATTTTAAAGATTTTATTTATTTAAGAGAGAGAGAGCACGAGCAGGAGGGGCAGAGGATGAGGGTCAAGCAGACTCCCTGCTGAGCACGGAGCCCGACGTGGGACTCGATCCCAGGACCCCGAGGTCATGACCTGAGCTGAAGGCAGACGCTTAACCGGCTGAGTCACCCAGGCACCTCCTCCATCCTGTTTATGTATATATGTATGTATGTATGTATGTATTTACTTATTTATTTATTTATTTATTATGTTACGTTAATCACCATACATTACACCATTAGTTTTTGACGTAGTATTCCATGATTCATTGTTTGTGTATAACACCCAGTGCTCCATTCAGTACGTGCCCTCTTTAATACCCATCACCAGGCTAACCCATCCCCCCACCCCCCTCCCCTCTAGAACCCTCAGTTTGTTTCTCAGAGTCCGTAGTCTCTCATGGTTTGTCTCCCCCTCCAATTTTCCCCCCTTCATTTTTCCCTTCCTGCTGTCGTCTTCTTTTTTTTTTTAAACATATAATGTATTATTTGTTTCAGAGGCACATAATAGAGCCTAGAAGCCTCCATGATATTATGGCCCTGCCTACCTCTCCAATACCTGTAGCACCATTCTAGTTTAACCAGTTATTATAATAATAAACTAATATTTATTGAACAATTACTCTCCTCGCAAACATCCTACATGGTAGGAATAAATGAGGAAACCAAGGTCCAGAGAGGTTATGTAAATTATCCAAGGTCACATAGCAAGTGGAGGGTATAGCTGGGATTCAAATCCAGGCCATTTTACTTTGGAACCTGGACTCTTCACCACCACGCTGTACTGCTTGTTTCACTTCCTCATGTGCAAGCTCTTTCCACTTCAACACCTTTGGGTTTTTTTGTTTGTTTGTTTTGTTTTTTAAAAACCACTTTCTTTAATATACAAGAAACACATAAGACACAGAGAGCCCAAGAAAGCGTTCAGTCCCCGAGCTGGGAGTTTAAGGGGGGGTTGAAGACAACAAGCCTTTCCAGTCTCCCAGGGAAAGATGGGGTTGAGGGGATGCAACATCACTAGGCCCCCGGTGAAGCCAGTGCTGGGGCCATACTCGGCCTAGTTCTCCACCAAGTTTGGAAAGTGCTGATTTTCCTGGTCCTGGTCCTGGCCCTGCTCCCACACTCGGCCTCCAGTTTTCAGAAGTCATCCAGTTCCCAGAATGGCCCCTTCCTTTAGCTCCTTAGCATTGTCACTCAGGGGAGAAGGCCGCTTACCCTGTCGTGGTGTCAGGGTTCCAGGGGAGTTGTCATCCTGTAGGATTGTGAGGGGAGATCTCCCTAGTAGTACCTTGCCATTTGCTTTCTGTATATTGTGCTTAGAACCTGAAGATCGGGAAGTCTCAGGGTCTCTCAAGGGCTTGTCCGAGCCCTGGCTGGCTATGGGGGCTTCTGAGGGTTGTCCTGCTTCCTCCTTGGAGAACACCTGCTTGGAGGGGAGCTCAGTCCGGCTCCAGGGTGGCATCTGGTCCTCAAGGGAAAACTGGGTGCCCAGAGGCAAGTCCAATTCAGAAGATGAAGTTGCCTCTAAGGGCAGAACAGGCTCTGGGGGCAGATTCGATTTGGGGGCTTTGGTCTCAAATACTTCACTCAGCTGTTTCACCGGTGGGCTTGGGGGTTCTCCGCTGCTGGTCTTCATAGGTGTCCACGCAATACCAAGGGTAGGAGAGCGGGGATCTGAGTCTTGGGCCTGATTGGGACCCTCCAGCTGCTCCCCTGCTGGTAGGTTTGGCTGTGGAGAGCTCTCCACCTGGATGGGAGTGCGCAGGATGCCGGCACTAGGTGAACGGGGGTCCGCCACTCGGGCCAGAAGCTTGTTGTGTGGCAGAGGCCACACCGGAGTGACTGGGGCGCTCTTGGCTGAGCCCATCTCAACCAGGAAGAATAAAGTGGGGCAGGGCCCGGCCCGGGGCGAGGAGGGGACGCCAGGCCCCGATTCCTCTTTTGGGTGCACAGCAGCTCGAGCCTCCCTTTGTTTTTTTTGTTTTTTGTTTTTTTTTTAAGATTTATTTATTTATTTGAGAGAGAGAGAATAGCGGGGAGGGGCAGAGGGAGAGAGAGAGACTTAAGCAGACTCCATGCTGAGCACAGAGCTCATCATGGTTCTCGATCTCACGACCCTGATATGACCTGAGCCAAACCCAAGAGTCAGATGCTTAACCGACTGTACCACCCAGGTGCCCCACTTCAACACCTCTGTATACATTATTACCTCTGTGTAGAATGTTTTTCTTCAAATTAACTCACTCTTTTGGTCTCAATCTAAATGTCACTTCCTCTGCAAAACTTTCTCTGACAGCCACATCCCCAAGGTTAGGCTATGTTCCAGTGCTATACACAGTCAGAATACCCTACTTTTTCACAAGTAGCATTTTTTGTGTGTGATTTTATATTTATTTGTGTGATAATGTAGTGCTGGTGGGAGGTTGGGTCAAAATTTTAAAACTCAAACACATACATCAAAGAAAAGTAGCTTTAAAAAAAAAACTGATCTAATCTTACTTTCCAGCCCCTTGTTTGTATTTCTGACTTTCGTTTTGAACAGCATTAGGAAAGTTTGTTGTTTTTTTTAAAGATTTTACTTAAATTTGACACAGAAAGAGAGTGCGCACAAGCAGGGGGAGTGGCAGGCAGGGGGAGAAGGAGAAGCAGGCTCCCTGCTGAGCAGAGAGCCTGATGTGGGGCTTGATCCCAGGACCCTTGGATCAGGACCTGAGCCAAAGGCAGATGCTTAACCGACTGAGCCACCCAGGTACCTCGAAAGTTCTTATACATATTGCTAAGTAGTTGTAAACGGTAACAATTTATATTTATTTACTGTCTTACAATCTCAGGATTTTCTTAAAACAGAGATATTAAAAGAGAAGCTTTGTTCCAATTTTTCAAAAAACTTCATAGTTTGGTAGTTTGCAGTTTGTTAAAAAATAAAAATTAGTAGAGGGCCTGTTAGAGAGTGTGTGCTATTGTGTATGTATTAAAAAAATTTTTTTTTAGGGGCACCTGGGTGGCTCAGTTGCTTAAGCGTCTGCCTTCAGCTTAGGTCATGATCCCATGGTCCTGGGATTGAGCCCCATGTCAGGCTCTCTGCTCAGCGGGGAGCCTACTTCTCGCTTTCCCTCTGCCTGCCGCTCCCCCTGCTTGTGCTCTCTTTCTCTCTCTTTGCCAAATAAATAAATAAAAATCTTTTAAAAATTTCTTTTTTTCGTATAGTTGACAGAGTATTACATTAGTTTCAGGTGTACAACAGTTATTCAACAAGTTTATATGTTATACTATGCTTTATTCTATGTTCGTAAGTATAGCTACCATCTGTCACCATTTAACGCCATTATAGTATCATTGACTGTATTCCTTATCCTGTGCCTTTTATTCCTGTGATTTACTCATTCCATAACAGGAAGCCTGTATCTCCCACTCTCCGTCACATATTTTGCCATTCCCCCCAACCCCTACGCCTTGGCAACCATCAGTTTGTTCTTTGTAAAGGTCTTTATAGGTCTGATTTTGCTTTTTGTTTGTTCATTAAAAATTTTTTTCTTCTTATTTATGTATGTATGTATGTATTTATTTATAGAGCCTATGCTTCCATCTTATTATGATCTTAAAATTTTATTATTTTTACAATTTTATTATTTATTTATTTTTATTTCATTTTAATTCCATTGTAGTTAACATACAGTGTTGTTGTTATTTCAGGTGTAAAGTATAGTGATTCAGCAATTTCATACATCATCCAGGGTGCATCATCACAAGTGCACTCCTTAATCCCCATCACCTATTTCACCCATCCCTCAGCCCACCTCCCCTCTGGTAACCATCAGTTTGTTCTCTATAGTTAAAAGTCTCTTTCTTTGTTTCTCCCTTTTTTCCCCTTTGCTCTTCTGTTTTGTTTCTTAAATTCACATACGAGTGAAATCATATGGTATGTCTTTCTCTGACTGACTTATTTCACTTAAAAGTATACTTTCTAGCTCCATCCATGCAAATGGCAAGATTTCATTCTTTTTTATGGCTGAACAATATTACATTGTGGAGATGTATATATATATATCTCACGTCTTTTTTATCCATTCATCTATGGGTGGACACTCAGGCTGCTTCCATGATTTGGCTATTGTAGATAAGGCTGCTATAAATATGGGGGTGCAAGTATCCTTTGGAGTAATGGTTTTAGGGTTTTCCTTGGGGTAAATACCCAGTAGTGCAATTATTTTTAACTTTTTGAGGAACCTCCATATTGTCTTCCATAGTTTGCATTCCCATCACAGTGCAAGAGGGTTCCTTTTTCTCCAGTTCCTCGCCAACACTTGTTTTTTGTGTTTTTTTATTTTAGCTATGCTGAGAGGTGGGAGGTGATCTCTCAATCTGGTTTTGGTTTGCATTTCCCTGATGGTAAGTGATGTTGAGCATCTTTTCATGAGTCTCTTGGCCATCTGGATGTCTCCTTTGGAGAACTATTCATGTCTTCTGCCCATTTTAAAAATTTGATTATTTGTTTTTTGGGTGTTGAGTTGTATCAGTTCTTTATATATTTTGGATACTAACCCTGGATGTCTCCTTTGGAGAACTATTCATGTCTTCTGCCCATTTTATTTTATTTTATTTTATTTTTTAAAGATTTTATTTATTTGACAGAGAGAGACATAGTGAGAGAGGGAACACCAGCAGGGGGAGTGGGAGAGAGAGAAGCAGGCTCCCCGCTGAGCAGGGAGCCCGATGCGGGACTCGATCCCAGGACCCTGAGATTATGACCTGAGCTGAAGGCAGATGTTTAACCGACTGAGCCACCCAGGTGCCCCCATTTTCAACTTTTTGAGAAATCTCCATACTGTTTTCCAGAGTGGCTGGAATGGTATTCTTTCCTGCTTTGTCAAAGATTAATTGACGATATAATTGTGCATTTATTTTTGAGTTTTCTATTCCATTGATCTATGTGTCTGTTTTTGTGCCAGTGCCATACTGTTTTGATTACTATAGCTTTGTAATATAACTTGAAGTCTGGAATTGTGATACCTCCAGCTTTGCTTTTCTTTTTTCAAAATTGCTTTGGTCTTTTGTGGTTTCATATAAATTTTAGGATTTTTTTGTTCTAGTTCTGTGCAAAATGCTGTTGGTATTTTGATAGGGATTACATTAAATCTATAGATTGCTTTGAGCAATATAGCTATTTTTTTTTTCAAAATTTTTATTTAAATTCTAGTTAGTTAATATATAGTGTATTATTGGTTTCAGGAGAATTTAGTGATTCATCATGGATGGTATAAACATTTTAATAATATTTGTTCTTCCAATCCATGAGCATGGAATGTCTTTCCATTTCTTTGTATTGTCTTCAATTTCTTTCTTTAGTGTTTTATTAAAGTTTTCAGAGTACAGGTCCTTAACCTCTTTGGTTAGGTTTATTTGTAGGTATCTTACTATTTTTGGTGCGTTTGTAAATGGAATTATTCTTTAATTTCTCTTTCTGCTGCTTCATTATTAGTGTATAAAAATGCAACAGATTTCTGCACATTGATTTTGAATCCTGTGACTTTACTGAATTCATTTATCAGTTCTAGAAGTTTTTTTGGTGGAGTCTTTAGGGTTTTCTATATATAGTATCATGTCATCTGCAAATAGTGAAAGTTCTACTTCTTCTTTGCCAATTTGAATGCCTTTTATTATATCTTTTTGTTGTCTAATTGCTGTGGCTAGGACTTCCAGGACTATGTTGAATAAAAGTGGTGAGAATGGGCATCCTTGTTTTATTACTGACCTTAGGGGGAAAGCTCTCAGTTTTTCCCCATTGAGTATAATGCTTGTGAGTTTTTCATATATAGCCTTTTATTATGTTGAGGTATGTTCCCTGTAAACCTACTTTGTTGAGGGATTTTCTCATGAATGGATGTTGTACTTTGTCCAAAATCCTTTTCCTGTGTCTGTTGAAATGATCATATGGTTTTTATTCTTTCTCTTATTGATGTGTGATGTGTCATGTTGATTGATTTGCAAATATTGAACCAGCCTTGCATCCCAGGAATAAATCCCACTTGACCATGGTGAATGATTTATTTAATGTATTGTTGGATTTGGTTTGCTAGTATTTTGTTGAGGATTTTTGCGTTTATGTTCATCAGAGATATTGGCTTGTAGTACTCTTTTTTTGTGGTACTCTGGTTTTGGTATCAGGGTGATACTGGCTTCATAGAATGAATTTGGAGGTTTCCTTCTATTTTTTGGAATAATTTGAGAATTAATAGGTATTTTTTTCCTATTTTTATTTTATTTTTTGACATTTAAGAAAATTTTTAATTCCAGTAGACTTAATAGGTATTAACTCTTCTGTAAATGTTTGTGATAGAATTTGCCTGTGAAGCCACCTGATCCTGGACTTTTGTTTCTTGGGAGTTTTTTGATTACTGATTCAATCTCCTTGCTGGTAACTGGTCTGTTGAAATTTCCTGTTTCTTCCTGTTTCAGTTTTGATAGGTTGTGTTTCTAGGAATTTATCCAGTTCTTCTAGGTTGTCTAATTTGTTGCAATATAGGTTTTTTTGGGGGGTGTAATCTAAACATTTTTATTTAAATTCAATTAATTAACATATAATGTATTATTGGTTTCAGAGGTACAGGTCTGTGATTCATCAGTCTTATATAATACCCAGTGCTCATTACATCACATGCCCTCCTTAATGTCCATCACCCAGTTACCCCATCCATCCACCCCTTCCCCTCCAGCAACCCTCAGTTTGTTTCCTATGATTAAGAGTCTCTTATGGTTTGCCTCCCTCTCTGGTTTTGTCTTCTTTTATTTTTTCCTCTCTTCCCTTATGATCCTCTGTTTTGTTTCTTAAATTCCACATATCAATGAGATCATATGATAATTGTCTTTCTCTGATTGACTTATTTCGCTTAGCATAATACCCTCTAGGTCTATCCCTGTCATTGCAAATGGCAAGATTTCATTTTGTTTGATGGCTGAGTAATATTCCACTGTGTGTGCGTGTGTGTGTGTGTGTGTGTGTGTATACCACATTTTATCCATTCATCTGTCAATGGATATCTGGGCTCTTTCCATAGTTTGGCTGTTGTGGACATTGCTGCTATAAACACTGGGGTGCACGTACCCCTTTGGATCACTACATTTGTATCTTTGGGGTAAATACCCAGTAGTGCAATTGCTGGGTCATAGGGTAGCTCTATTTTCAACTTTTTAAAAAATAGATTTTATTTATTTATTTGACAGAGAGAGAGCGGTAGTGAGAGAGAGTGCACAGGCAGGGGGAGCAGCAGGCAGAGGGAGAGGGAGAATCAGACTCCCTGCTGAGCAGGAAGTCCAACCTCGGACTCGATCCCAGGACCCTGGGATCATGACCTGAGCCGAAGGCAGATGTTTAACCGACTGAGCCACTCAGGTGCCCCTATTTTCAACTTTTTGAGAAATCTCCATACTGTTTTCCAGAGTGGCTGCACCAGCTTGCATTCCCACCAACACTGTGGGGGGGTTCCCCTTTTCTCTGCATCCTTGCCAACATTTGTCATTTCCTGACTTGTTAATTTTAGCCATTCTGACTGGTGTGAGGTGGTATCTCATTGAAGTTTTGATTTGGATTTCTCTGATGCCAAGTTATGTGGAGCATTTTTTCATGTATCTGTTGGCCATTTGGATGTTTTCTTTGGAGATATGTCTGTTCATGTCTTCTGCCCATTCCTTGATTGGATTATTTGTTCTTTGGGTGTTGAGTTTGTTAAGTTCTTTATAGATTTTGGATACTAGCCCTTTATCTGATATGTCATTTGCAAATATCTTCTCCCATTATGTCACTTGTCTTTTGGTTTTGCCGACTGTTTCCTTTGCTGTGCAAAAGCTTTTTATCTTGATGAGGTCCCAATAGTTCATTTTTGCCTTGTTTCCCTTGCCTTTGGAGATG